ATCTAAAACCTGCAGGATCCTTGAGGCCTGGAGTTGCTCGCCCCTGTCCTAAAGCCTTTCAAAATCCTATAAGAAAAACCTGTAGTGAGTTGGCACCTGACAAAAAGAGATTCATACTCATTCATATTCTAGTCACCTAGTTATTGAACAGCTGTTTGAGCCTTTCACTAAATGCCTGCACACTTAACTGAAAGACAAAAGGCTGACACTGCACAATTTCATCCGATGAGTTAGATAAACCTGTGATATGCAATAAAAAGCCGAGATAACCCTGATACCAGAAAAGCAAAAAGGACACCATGTGTTAAAATTGTTAGTTTGCCCTTTAACTGCATATAGGCAACAAAGTGTTGCTTGAGCACTGAGACAAAAAGCTAACATGTAAAACTGCATTTAAAATACCTTCTTCAACCACCTTTTCTATGAGGCTTTAAAACTGACGACGTAATCAGCAGAAATTTATTTTGTGAATGTTAGTGTTGATTATATCTCGTAGCATTTATTAAAACGTATATTAATACAGCAGTGCTGAACACTCTATAGAGATACCACCAACACCACTAAACAGATTAGAAAGGGCTGCTCTCACGGCAGAAATGTTTGCCCTGTCCTCGGTGAAGCAACTCATCTTTTGTGCATGTGATTGTTTAAAAAACAGGATGTAAATAAAGAAATGTAGTTTATGCATGAGCTTTTTAATAAGTAATACGAGCTCCCAAACTAGAACCAAATTATACTGGATCCTTCAAGGCTGGGGCCAACACATCTATTGAAATAACCTGACAGCATTTTAGCCAAAATTACCCCAATTGTATTTTTTTGTGGTGTATATGGGACAACATATATGATGATACAGATATATCTGTATGAGGCCAACAATGACAGTTAATTTAAAATGCAAAGGCCCAAATATGTTTTGCGAAATGAAAAATAGAAATTCCTTAAAAACTGTTCTTTACTGCTTCATGAAACCTCGCAGAGGAACAGATACGTTTCTTTTTGACACACTGAACGACGTTAAAAGCAGGAAAAACATGCACGGCTCTTTATCAACATCTGATTTGCAGTTAGTAATATTATTTCTGCCCTAAGAGAAGCCCTGCCTCCGTGGATCGACTGTAATGAGTGCTGGGCTGTATACCTTTATATCTGATACACAGAGACGTTTCTCAGGGCTAACAGGTGTTTTTTTGGGCTACAAAGTTTAGAAGAATAACTTATAAATGTGATGCTTCACTCACAAGCTCGTATGCAGGAGCACTAACATGAAAACTTTTTGTTATTTGACTTCCTAAAGTAACGAAAAGTGGCATCATATCAATTCTTGAATCAGAACTGACAGGAATTTTAGGAATTACGCCCATTAAAGTGACACGAAATTCTGAATTTTTCAGATATGAACTTGTAACATATACACACCGAACCGAACGAGTTCACTGAAAAAAATAACGTAGACGTGAAATGAGCTGGTCCTGATGTTTGTGAAGAAGACAAGGAAGAAACTTGAGATTCTGGTTTTATCCGATTCGCGTGAGAAGGCAGCGGCGGGAAGAATTTCACGGTTTGATTGCAGAGTTGAAGCTTTCATACACATCTCAGCATGTCAGTGGGGCTATTTGAACATTGTTGGGACAGCATCTGACGACACAGAAATCATTTCACAGAGCTGACTGACTTGGAGCGGCGTACAGCTGTGTCTCTCGCAAAGTACTATTATTTTACCATAATACGCGCTTTGAGATATGAGTGCCAAATGCAGTGACGTGATTGGTCAGATGTGTTCATGCAGTAACTATAACAAGAACAACAACATGATCTGTATAGGATAAAGGTCTGATCATCTCTTAGTTTACTCAGATTGCACAGAGTGTATATTTGTTAATAATTTGAATCATTTTGGATAAGGATAAGTGTAAGATAACGGGGAATTTCAGTTTTTACTTTATAATTTGTTTAGCGTAAGATTTACAGTTAAATTGTATTTTTTCTTGCCTTATTTGATTTTTACGTACTGTTCCTTTAACACACGGTAACTGTGCACGGGAGGAGCGTTCGCGACGGGCAGTGTGGAGCAACGAGGGTTTTAATTAGCTGTGGAGAAAAACAGTTTCTTACTGTGTTTGCAGTGTACATGAACATTCAAACGGATCACTGTATTTCAAAACTGTGGAAATAAATGTTGCCTGTTTGTTTTTCGACTACAAGCGGACTTTGTGGATTATGTTCAACTGCACTAAGACACGTACGGCCCGACTACCAGCTAGTGCTTCCGCAGTATTATGATCTACTGTGCAAATACTTGTGTGATAGATATTTCAGGTCATACTGCCCAGCACTAACTGTAATCCAGTTCACATTTGTCGATTACAGCAAAAAAAAACAGTTTAACTGACGGTTTGCTGCATTTTAAACCCATAAAACAACTGAAATAACTACGGCTCACACAGTCTTACACTACAGACTGGCCACTGAGCGACTAAGGCCACAACAGTTTATGACTACTGGACTAGACCGAACCACACAGCAGCTAAATCTAGACGAGCAACGATCACTGCCTCAGACACATGCAGCTGTTTACTACCACACACACACACACACACACACACACACTCAACAGCATTCGCAGACATGCATGTTATATTAATGAGTTAGCAGACTCTTTTCCTATTTACCTGAACCCACCAATAGAACACCATTAACGGAGCTATGACTATGAGGAACATTGGGGTGAGGGCACAGCATATGAGCAGCACATTCAGTGTGTACCAGAAAGTGCGCATCCATATGTCAATATTGTCTGGGATCTGGGAGTCTATAGCATCCACATCTTTGCTGAAGCGGTTTAGTAACCGCCCAGTAGGGGTGCTCTCGAAGAAGCCCTGCGGAGCTCGCAGGACCCCCTGAAGTAAGTTGCGGTGTGTGAGCTTGGCTGCCTGCAGCATACTGTAGGCCCGGCACAGCAGGCAGTTAATCAACAGCAGCGCACCTGCGAGACAGGAGGGGAGGGGGTCAGGTGTGACAACACAATAGCGCCTGCGTTAAATGGATGAGCAGCCTGTGAGACAGCGACTTTCAGTGTCAGTGCAGGTTTCCCAGACTCAGTCCTCAACGGTGCCACTTATACACCTCATAAGTGGCATTTTATCATCATATTCTTTCATTTATGCTTCCCTTTTGTGCACATGGTGCTTACTTTTAATATCTAATGGAAAACTAGCAGATGTGGAAATTTTAAAAGACTAAATAATTAAAAATTTCATTAACTTCAACAGAGAAATGTGAGATACTGCTATCATTTCACCTAAGAAGGTGAGGTCACACTGGCCTTTGATAAAAATAAAGTTTATTTAGTTGTGTTAACAGTGCTTCACCACTAGAGGGGGGTATAGATCACTAAAAACTGACTGACTTTGATTTTGTTCGATAAAGTGATGGTGTGAATGTGTTTAGGAGCGTGATCTGTGAGGTGTGTGTGTGCATGTGCATCGCAACAAGCTGCAGGCAGGACAGGAAGTGTTTTGGCTGTGGAGAAAGAGCAAAGTGAATTTACAACTGAAAAGGAAAAAATGACAGCAGGAGGTGCTCATCATGGACAACATTGCAGGCTACGGAGGAAACAAGCCAAACTTGAAAGTTACAAATTTCGCTGCGGCAAACATGCAAGCAGCATGCCACTTGAGGAAGAGGAAGAGCCCCACATTTTTAAGGAAAAGAAGAACTGAGAGGACACATTTGGCACATGAGCCACACTGCCACCCGACCCCACCCAAGTACCTGGACAAAGACGTATATGACAGCCAGGGGTACTATGACAACAGCAAAAATGGGTGTGCTGGAAACAATAACTAATATAGTGGAGAGAGAAACGAAGAAGGTGCCCAGGAACATGAGCACAGTGGACGGCAGAGCCTCATCTATCACGTAGATGTCCTTGGAGAAGCGGTTGATGATGCGTCCTATAGGGGTGGTGTCAAAGAAAGACTGGGGCGTGTGGAATTTGTTGGTGAGCAGGTTAAAGTGCAGCTTCTTGGCTGCACCGATGTTCCCCATGGCTAATGTGAAGGAAGCAATCATGATCAGGATACCTGGGATTAGGTTAAACCACAGGAGCAGAAGAAAAATTGATTAGGGAGAGGAAAGTTTCACTGTAGAATGAGAAAGCAGCTGTTATAAATAGACATGGGCAGCTTCTGTCCTGAATGTGAGGTAGTCAGGGGAGCAGTTCACCATGAAAGGAGCCGCAGTTAAAGAAAAAAAAGAAGAACAATGCTCAGTGTATTCCAATTAACGATGCTGTAATCAGATTAACTCTCCTTTGGCTCACAGCATCTCTCCAGAGTTTACTGTACAAAAGAGAAGCATTTCAACTGGCTGCAAAGCAAATCTGTTCCGATTATTTCAGTAAAACAAAGAAAAAGCTGTGAGGGTGGAAGTGGAAGTATAAAGTAGGCATTCAGGTTCAACAATCCGACGTGGCAGCTGTTTGCATTTCAGCATACAATACATGCATTTAAATGAACATTCAGCATCAGCGTGTCTTACCTTGTGCAAACCCCAGTGCCGCGTACACCCCCACCCTCATCTGAACATTTTCCATGGTGCTATTCGTCACGGCGTCATTGGTCCATTCGCTGAGCCAGATGTTTGTTCCGATGGAGGCAGCGCTCTGACAGCCGTACAGGAAGCAGATGACCACTGACAGCAGTATTCCGACTGCCTTGACGTACTCCAGGTACACCTTTCCTTTCACCTGGGATCAAAACAAAAGATAATTCAGGGGTCGATGTGGTCCAACCAGTGAATACCAGGTTGCTATGTTGCAGTGAACGCTGAGCAGTCGTGGGTCGGACGATCGAAGGTGGAGAACTTTAATTATATATTTGCAGGTTAAAAAGATGATGATGCACCGACCTGGCCGGTTTCTGCTGTTTCTGCCTGGATGAGTTTCTCCATCTCGCGCGGTTTCTTCTTGTCTTGCGTCTCTGAATGTTTTCGCTGGCTGCAGCCATGTCTCCTCACTGAACGGGACCTGGGGTTCTCTCCGTCTGAGGACATAATGCTCATCTGCCTGTTAAAAGAGGCGCAGGGCAATGAGCTCACGCTACTGAACAGGGTCAGGATATCTGGTGGCGATAATGCATTTATTCAACTGCTGTTTTGTGCAAAATGACTCCATATTTTTCAATTCGTTTAATGTTTTAAAAAGCTCATAATTCTTGAGAAATTCCTGATAAAAAAAAGACAAAGTTTGGAGTTTATGCAACAACCGTTTTATCTCATCCAAGTTTAAATATCCAGTTTTTTTCAATTTACCTTATAAAACTTCTTTTAGCTTCATTGATCATTGGTTCACTGTCCACCATGTCTGTGTGGTTGCTAAGGGCGTCGTCGGGGAACAATTCGTCATCTTCAATGATCTCATCTGTGAGAGCAGAAAACCAGCATGAGATGCTATTGAACCATCAATCCGTTCTGCACCAACGTGAGGCGATATGTAAGGGGAGGAAATGCTGTACCGCTGGCCTCGTCCTCCTCCATATTATCCTCCAGGGCATAATTTCTGAGGAACTCTGCGAATGCTCCGTTCTGCTTGAGGAGATCCTGATAGGAGCCCATCTCTGACACCCGGCCATCCACCATCACCATTATATTATCCACCTGAGGCAGGAAGCTGATGCCATGTGTCACCAGGATGCGTGTCTGGAGTCAAAACACAAGAAAACTTTACTTCTGTCATGCAATAAACCAGCATGACAATTACAATTTGCAGGATGGGTTTGAGAGCATTTTTATATTTCTGTTTAAATATGAACTGAAACATGATGTGAAGTTCTCAAAGTAGAACAAGACCAATTAAACTGCCGAAAATGAAAATATTAGACTTAGTGATTTAATTATTGAGGAAGATCATCCAATATATGATTTAGCCCAAGGCTATAATCTGGCATATTTACATTTGTTAAAATGTTCATTAATAAGTATTGTCCCTCTTTCTAAATAGAACTAAAATTAAATTAAAATTAATATTGTCCATCTGGAAGGGGGAAAGCGCTTATTTTCTGCGTACAGCCTTGTGCAACAATACCTCGAAAACCACATTTGCAGGAACCGCAGATCTGTTCTGGACATTAGGTTAGAGGAGTTTTAGAGCAAGCTGGATTCCAAATATTCACTTTCATGGTATTTCTATTATTACAAGGTCAGGACTTTGACTTGGCTGTTCCAAAACATTCGATTT